TGTTCATCATCTTCTTCCACAGAATAAGACACTGTTCATGTGTGTCGTGTCCTAGCTGCAACTGCTTCCTCAAGACAATCCCGTTAGTTGCAGCTTCAGGGTTGTTCTTCACATCCTCTACCACCCGAGTGGCTTCATCCTCCCACTTCTTCCTAAACACCAGACACCTCTGCAACGATGAATCTCCTCTTGAAAAAAAAAGCTCACAGCGCTCTTCTTCACCATCGTCCTAGCTATCACCATCTCTAAACTACGCGGGAAGCGCTTTAACCTCCCTCCAGGTCCCCTGCTCATCCCAATCTTCGGCAATTGGCTCTAAGTCGGGGATGACCTGAACCACCGTAATCTGACTGACTTAGCCAAGAAGTTCAGTGACATCTTCCTACACACTCAAGGGGTTGAGTTCGGTTCACAAACCCAGAATGTGGTCTTTGATATCTTCATGGGGAAGGACCAAGACATGGTGGTCAAACGTTTCTTTTGATTCGGAATTGAATTTTCAAAGAAATCATGAATGCCATTAGGAACAACAGGAATATCTACAATACCAAGATGGGCATGGGCTATGGCGTCCCATTATCAGGAACCACCGCTGACACGCTACTCCCCTTCTACAATTCTGTTATCTCCCATTTCGGAATCGAGTTGTCTCTTGTGCTCTGTTGCTTAGCAAGACTATTGGCATTTCTTAAAGAAATCCATAATTTCTTTCATGAAAAACAAAAGAAAAGAAAAGAAAAAGTAAAGAAGAAAAAGAGAGAAAGACAGAGAGCTTGTATTTGCGTCTGTAATTGGGTGTGGTTGTTTTTTCCTTTTTTTAACCTTTTGTTATCATTCTAGATACGTACACAAGAGAGGAGCTGAGGTTTGCTGATCAGTGTGGTTTTAGCGCAGGAAACTCAAATTTCGATTTTTCACATTGGAAGAAATGAAAGCAGGAAAACATGACAACAGGTCCAAACTTTATTTACAAGCAACATGAGAACGAAGAAAATCGGCATAAGGTGCGTAGAAACAGGAGAACATGCATGATATCTTGCCACTTAGGGCTGCAGATAAAATCAAACTAAATAAGTCTGTATTCAAATTTTATAGGCGAGAGGGCCGGAATTGAGTTGCTGTAATGGTGATGGGAAAACGTTAGGTGCGTTTTTCGAGGGTGTGGGGACAAAGATATGATTAAGATTTATCGGTAGTTATTGGAGTGGTTAGAAAGGAAGAAAATTAATTTGATGATTGATAAAGAAAATTAGATGACGGTCGAAGTGCATTATAGTGGTGGTTAACGGTTTTGTATTAAATTTATACATTTTAAAAATTTAAGTAATGAATTGACAAGTTTGGAGACGAAACTGATACCAGGCCCAAGGTGTGAAAGTGCTACAAGAAATGAACAAAAGCTTCAACTTTGGATGCCCCCTGGGGAAATCCCGTTCTGGGTCAGAGCAGAAGAAAGCCTGACACATCGTTCTAGCATTCATCTCCATGTATACCGGACGCTACCATAAACTACAGATGTTCTCTCTCCATAAACACGTGTTGAGCATCGAACGAGGCCCTCCATTAGTTTCTCGAAGTCTGATTCCACTTTCTTGGAGAAATGTAGTAATTGAGATGTTTGAGTGAAACATGAAGATGCTCTGAGAACGGTCCAGCGAATTCGATGCTGCAATGATTTAGAAAGAAGATTCATTTTAGAAGATGGAAGAATCACAGAGTTTCCAATCTCTCGTTCGAAAATTTGTTGTATTCAGTAAAAAGAGAGGTGTTGGGTAAAATCCTATTTGTTGTATTTGTTGCTGTTGTAAAGATGTTAACCATTCTGAGAGGCTTTGGTGATATGGAATCTGCGTAATTTTTCTTCAGTATGCTGACTTAACTGTGTAAACTCGTGAATTGTTTTTGTTTTCAAATGAATTTGTCATTGATCAGTTTTGGTTGCGACTCGATGGATAGAATGTGTGAAATGGAGGTCAGGCTGGTTCAGACTAGGCGGCCCAATGAGACCAAGAAGACCACTAAGACGCCTGAAGAAAGAAGGAAATAGATTGAGGTATGTGTTTCTGCTACGAGGTTATTGCAACACAAATCTAGCTCTTTCCAATTGAATTTAGCTTGGTTTTGATTTGGAGCTATTTTTGGGTTGGTTAGGAATTAAGAAATAAATGGCAAGAAAAAGAAAATGGAAGAAGTTCAGTAGGGTATTTTTGGTAATTTAATGCCTTCAATTTTATTTAATACAGCAATAGTGATTTCATTGCTCAAATAGAGTTTCAACACCCTATAATAATTTTCATTTTCATGGTCGTCTGTTCCACAACATCTAATTAATTTATAGTTAATTCTTCCACAATTACACTTGTTCCCTTTTAGTTTATATATTGATAAATATAATTGTCTTGTTATAAGATATTCATTATCAAAGATAGATGTTGATTGTTCACATAAAATGGGTCCTGTATGCACAAATGGGGAAGTGACAAGCGACGTCTTTTTTACAATCAATCAGATCCAGATATCCAATAGCATTTTTTTTACCATATTAATATCAAGGAAAAAACATTGTTTCAGTAAGATCTGTATACCAAAGAACAAAATAGAGACAAATCATAGGGAATTGAAACTTGTCAAAGGCTCCTTCGGGTCATAAAACATTAATCACAGTGATCCAAGTCACTCTTCCATATGATTCAATGTCTTACCATACTCTGAACTAAGCCTTACTCCCATGGGTATTCACATTCACAGAGATCATACAAAACTAGAGACAAATTATTATCCTCTTTTAACTGTAATTTTAGCTGTCTGAGCAATCTCAAAGGCGGCCCCATTTGTCAACTATCAACCTCATAGACCCCCTAAACATGTTAATTTTAGCGTTACATATTAGACAGTTTTGTATGCCCTTAGTTCCAATCAGTTTTGATGTACTTTTAATATTTAATGTAAATAAATAAAGTACATGTTTGATTCATGTTGTGTGACACACTAAAACTAGACACTTAATGAGACTTGTGTTAGTTTTAAATGTTCACAGTCGTTGGATAAGTCTGGGGAGATTTATCCTGTCAAGGCTAACACTGGTGTGTTGCCAACTGTTGGGGTGGCTTGTCTCAGCCACTAGGGTGAGACCCAAAGCACACGCAGTGTAGGATTACTTGAACCCTTGAATCAGACCATATTTCCAGTATTGCTTTAGACCTTGGAGATTGATGGGCAAAATTGAAAAGTTACACATGACCCCTAGACCCGATTATGGTATTGCACTAGGTGTCGGATTGAGCTATCTTTGATATGCCAATTAGTGAGATCCTTAGCGGGGTTCAAAACCTGGGTATGTTGGGACAATCTGAGAATTCATCTGAGTGGGTGATCATAGTGACGGGATCAACCCCTTTGTCGGACAAAGGTAATGATCGGGGATGCACTCTCTCT